AACTTTACCCGGCCAGGGGATTGAACCCTGGACCTCCCGGTCCTGAAGTGAGCGGCGTACCACTGCACCACAGGATCGGTGCTTTACTTCACTGAGCAGACGGGATATGGTGTTTTCAGCCTAAGATGGCCGTCCACCAGGCTCTCCTAATCGGGCGGTAGGCCGATTACTTGGTTTGTGTGGTACATTCTTAGTTATTTGTTTGCGTAGTGTGTAACTACGCTAATTAGTAGGTAGTTACAATTATATACATCTATTTCTATTTCAGGCAAAGAGAAGAATAAGGATGAAACCATCTATTATATCTTCAGTCTTCATTTTGATCAAGAGATCCACACACGATTGCGATTAAAGAGGCGCATACGACAGCTAAGCGAGACGACTAAGCCCCAAGGTAACACTACCTTAGTGCAAGAGGGCGTGTATTCACCTGCTCCGTTACACCATCCGTCGGGGAAGACAGCAAACTACGTCAATGAGGCGGGAACGCTTATCGCCGTAAAAATGTCAAATTCCTTTCGGAGGTGGTAGCTCTCACCATCTTCACGGAGAGTCTTTGAATGGGTGCGGTTCGCGTCGAGAACTTTTGCGCTCGCTCTATCTCTATTTAAAAAGTGGTGGGTGTCGCATTGAATGTTCAAGTTTTGTACCGCGAAGGAGGATAGAATACGGAAGTGAAAGCTCCGTAAGTGAGCCAGAGGCGATGGACCTCAACCTATGCTGCGAAAAAAAGCGAGATCTCTTGGCAGCCGGAAGCTTTGTAGAACAAGTGGGGGTTTCTTTTAAGGAAATTCAAAACATTTAGGCCTAGCACATCCCCTTCGCTCTCAGCTGAAAGGTTCTAGGGTCGTGCAATCGCGTAAAGTAGTCCAACGAGCCCGTCGCGTGGAAAGATCGAGTCTCATTAGGCCAACCTGGGTCTATTGGCTAAAATTGAATTCGATTAGTCTTTGTGACGATCATGATCTATAGGATCAGTATTGAAAAAGACCATTTTTTATATAAATAGGGCTAATGTCCTAGTGTTGTTGGTTATTGACATCAGCATCTCGGGGATACTTCGGATTGATTTAGTGATTATATGCGGCACGGGACTGCCAACAATAGTAGACGGAACTTATAGAAGCCAAATGCAGATGTTATACCAGGTGTAGAAAACAAGAACATGCCGAAGTTTATGGTGAACTCTACGTAAACGGGATCCACACTTCCAAATAAAGCACCCTACAAAGGGGATTTCTTCAGCGCCGAGAATGCACTTATCAGCATGAGCATACAGCTTATTTGTGCGCATGCACTCGAGCACCGCTCTCAAATGGACGATATGGTTTTCCTCATCTGTCCTTTCGTGCAACGCACGACTGTGGACGAAGATGTCGTCGAAGTATTTCTGTGCATACGCCCGATGGGGCCTGAACAATTGCGCCAGAAGACGATTAAATGTCGCTGCTGCATTTAGCAGCCTTGGGGCATCACCAGCCATTCTTAAACTATGCCGCTCGGAGTACTCACCGCTGTCGTGAGCAATTGTTAATTTCAATCGACCAAGTCGAGTGCGCTGTACTTTGTACAGCCAACCATTTTGTTCTGGAAAACATCCTACCTAGGAATCTACGTCTGTGCTGAATGGTGACAACATTTAGCTTATTGTAAGCTTGAACGATACGTCATTTGCCGTTCGGCTTCCGGGCAAA